ATGTATTTTAAATATATGTTTATTATGATTACATACTTAAAGAATCTAATAGTATTGAACAATCAATTTTATGGCAGTATACTTTATAAAAATTATCTCACCTTTATCAATATTACTCAAACATTCTACCATTTTGACCATATTACATGCATTATTGCCGTGGTTCTCAACTTTTTTTTGTTCACGGCACACCATTATACATCACAAGTTTTCGCGGCACATTCATGCACTTGACAACAACAAATACTTTGGCTACGCGCTAAGATATCCAATTGGATTAGAACTATACAGTTTACCTATATATGTATCGTCTTATCTGCACAATTAATTGACATTTAGCTGTCACAGTTTCATCAATCGGTATTTTCAAATGTCAGACATTTTTCACAGCACACCTAGTCGATCTCGCGGCACACCGGTTGAGAACCACTCAATTATCGGTTGTTATTGTCAATATTTGTTTAATATCATACTTGTTTAGTACTTCAAGAACCGATAGAATTAATATTATTAAATAATTTCTAAACACATAATATATTTTAAGAAAATATAATGCTTTTTGTTTTAGATAGCTAGATGTATGGGATTCTGTAAATTCAATCATTGCTGTATTGTATATAACAATATATAATATATATATTATATTATAACATGAGTGTTTTTATCAGAAATAAACTGTACATTAATCCCCAATATTGGTTTATCCAGATGCGTGGCACCGTCAATTTTTAAACTAAGATTACGATTTTTTACTAAATTTTTCAAACCATTGATAACCAAGTTTGCAATTTGGATAACATTTCTTTGGTCATTTGAAAATGTATTGTTAAAACTTTCAAGTATTGGGTTAATAATTTTTTTAAAACCACTATCATTTACTATACTTAAGAACCTTCCATTCACTGTGACCATTTCTGTGAATATATTCAAAAGTATTTCTCGACTGGCAGTGCTTTAGCAACAAAAAATTGCGCTGGGGTGAAACTTCAAAATGCGCCTTATGTATTTTTAATTTAAAAATATGCTTATTAGATATTATTTTCAATGATTGCTTTAATTAATATGAAGGATTTTAAAGATTTTGTAAACAAAATATAATACATTGACCGTTATAATTTTTAATATTAAATTTAAGATTTTCATTTTTGCGCTTTCCCAGGAATTGCGCCTGAGGCGTAAGCACCTTTCCTCGCCCTTTGCTACGGCCCTGTCGACTGGTCTTAATACTAATAGACTTTTTAATTATTATATTGTCTAATGTACATTGTTTCATGCCAATTTTATTAGAAACCTGTATGAAGTGGTAACTAAAAAAAAAAAAAAAGTTAAAATCGAATAATTAATTAGGTATTTTGTAATTTAATATTTTTTTTTAACAATTATATTTAAGAGTTTAAGTTTACCTAAACATTTCAACATCTATTATAATAATAAAAATATGATTATTGACGGGTGAAACACGACTGCGGATGCTTTACCTTTTATGCAACCCGATTGCGGACGATCATTATATAACAAAAGGTATTATTTTGGATGTTAGGAAAAAAGTGTCCAAATTAATATTTGATTTAAATTTAGTCTTTTATGCACAAACAAAATAAAATATATAATAACATATAATATAATTATATAATATATTATAATAATATAATAATATAATATCTTAAACATCTATAACATTATTTAAAAATATAAGAGTGCAGATATGTTCAGATATAAAAGATCTCTTTCTTATATTTTGACCTATTTGCTTTAAAAAATGAGGAATATCTGCAGATTTGTCCTCATTAAAACGCTTACAAAAAATATTCAATCGAACTTCAATTTTTTTTACCTATTAATTCAGCCAATGCCCTTGCCTTGTCCATTCCAACTTCTTGACGCATTTTTGTTAGTAATTTCTAAGTACTGGGATGTTTAATGCCGACGAGATGAGAAAACCTAGTGTTCCAGACCTCGTAAGCATTATTAGTTTTGTGCGATTGTCAACCAGATTTGTCAACCAAATTCATTTTATAAATAAAATAACAAGTATAATGGAAATATCGTTTTGTTTATACTGTGACAAGAGACTTTTATTCCGTTTACCATTATTTTGCACCTAAAAAATGACACAACTGCGGTCGAAATTTAATGGAACGTTGCCAAGTTGTGCGACACAATTTATTTATATAATAATATATAATATAAACATTTAAAGTTAAAAATTTATATTTTTTTCCTCCTGTAATGACAACTAATTTTTTTTAAATACTGTATCACGTTTTGGTGATTTTTATAATCATTATAGCTCTGAATAGTTAGGTTGATTCCATCTAAATCTTTTTTTGCCACCGATTTTTCTCGACCTTAGTTTATGGATGAAATAATTGTCTCAGTTTCGCCTTGAGTTTCTTTTAAACTTCTTTAATTTGATTTCTTCTAACTGCAGTATTTAACAAAAATGACTTTTAACTGCATACTAAACTTAATACGCTCAGGATTTCCATATTTCCACATTATCGAAGTTTTATTTATAAAATTGGCAACATGTGTCCACAATAGTGTAATATTCGGGGGTCTGCTCATAAACTATAATTTCAATTAAAAAGGTCGCCCCGATAAGAACCGTCCGCAGTCGTGTATCACCGTTATTGACATATATTTAATATTGTCTATTTGTTTAAGATGTAATGTTTAAATTGAAGAAAAAATTCTGTATAAACTTATCTATACCGTATCAATAATAATCAATATTATTTAATAATTAGTAATCAATACCATCCATCTTAAGATCAATAATTAAAATAGTCATAAATTATATTATATGTATTTCTTTGAATTTTTACTTGAGAAAATGTTCGATCAATACATTTCATTCATTTTAGAACAGCTGATGTTCGATTTTTATCTTAATTTGTTTTTTTTTTTTCATAGTCTTTTGCAAAATTATTGCAATATAAAATATAATGTATACTTTCAATGCGTCTTTCGAGGTTTATAGCATAATTGCCAGTCAATTTAGTACCACATTCCTCAATTCGGCATATTGAATTTTTCGAATTAATGTTTAATTTAAAGTATTTGTGGACCGGTGATTTTTTTTATATCTTAGAATTTTTTATAAGGTATTTTAAATGAATCAAAATATACATAAGACATTACTGAGATGTTTGTATAAAATTATATATATAGTACTGGACTTACTTAAATTTTAATTTAAATAGTCTTTCTTTTATAGTTTTATAAAGTTTAAATCTAAATAAATATTAATATAAAAAATATATACTTGCAAATTGTACGATGAACTAATAATAACAGCGACTACAATTATTAACAATTATAAAATAATTACTCAGCAGCACTATAGTAGACATTAAATAAATAACCATAATCATGGGCACCCAGAGAAGGGGGCAAGATGGGGTATTTTCGCCCCTCTGGAAAAATTAACTGAACAGTTAATATCAAGGTTTGCAATTGAACAATTGCGAAGATTTCAGTTTTTATTTAATAACGACTAAAGTGTATATAATTCTGACATATTTTATTGTTTGCTAAGAATACATTTTTTAATATACTTTTTGGTTTTTAATTTAACTATGCATCCCTCCTGATAAATTTCCTGCTGGCGCCTGTGACTATAATCAAAAAACAATCCGAGATGGCGAGATACAATTCATCGCTTACCAAGTAGACGAATATAAGTATATAGTAGGTATATAGTAAAATAATATTCCAAATAGGTAGGCCATAGGGGCGTAGAACCATAGAGATAAATATAAAATGTAAATTACGATTTAGTACATTTCCGGGAAAATGGTAAATAGTTAATATATTCAAGAATTACGATGTTCATTACTTATTTATAATAAAATCACTTGGGAAGTTGGTTGGAAAATTACACTAGATATTACTTATAGCCTATAGGAATTAATTACCTATTACTTATTATTAGTAGTATTTGGTCATGAACGTCAGGACTACCACATCTATATTTTACATTGCTGTTGACTGTATTTGGATTTATAATAGTAAAAAATTGATTTAGTATTGTTTGGTTTAATCAGAATTAATTAATGATTTTATTAGATTTTATTTTCAAGAAAATATTTATTGAATTTATGTATAATTTATAGTAAAATGTTTCCCGAACTAACCACAAAAAATACATATGAAATGATATATCATATGAAAATTGTAAAAAAAACCAAAAAATTATTCGGGAGTCGGGTTGACCAGAATGTTTTATTCGGGTTCTATGGGTTCGGGTGTTTAGATTTTTTAAGGTTTTTTGGTGGTTTTACGGGATGGGGTTAATTCGGATGCAAGGCCCTGAAATTTAATGACGCATTCATATAAAGGAATTTTCATATAAATCTTGATTTTTTCTAATACACACGTAGTTATTAAGTATTATTTCATGAAAAATACTATTGTATTAGTAGATTTGCAAAATTGCTAGTACATAGTAATCAAACACGGATAAATAATTGTAATACCTAGTACACATGGGCATGTGCAGACCTGCATACCAGTGAAAGTTCCTATTATACTTTTGGGCCCCATCTTAACAAAATGCGTAAGTATATCTATCAAATTTTAATTTATAAATAATTAAATGAACGTAACTTTAATTTTTTATTTAATATTGTGGTTTATAAGTCTGAAGTAATATGTTTTTCTTGAATTTCGTGCAGGTAAAAAATTTATGATTTATACTTTGGTACCTAGTTAATTGTAGCTGTTATATCATGAGTTTTTGCAGGAAAATTTATTTTTATTTTTTCTGTTACAAAACATAACATCATTTATTTTTTAACAAATATATATGCACATGTATACACAGTTATCATGTACTATGGATTACAAGCAAATTTTCATTTAGACGGGTAATATTATAATTTATAATAAAATAAATAAAACACGTATTATGTAAATAATAATTAAAATATATATTATTATATTATCACAGCCTATGTGCAGTGTTTTGTAACAAGACAAAACGATAAATAACATTACGTTACGTACACATAATACATATTTAAATAACAAGAGGTAGGAAGACTACATATTATTTAAGAACAAATTATAATTTTTACACATATAAATTCATGGTTCTAGTCCATTTTTAATATCATGGTATAACAGGACCATTTGAAATTAAAAATTATCAAACATATTTATAAAAATTATTGCGTGCGAATAAGAAAATGTCTTAAAATATGAAAAACATTTGTATATAATCTGCTTTATACGATGGAAATTCATCTTTAAGCGTTTACAGTTTTGGAAAAACCCTGTTCGTCTCGACATCAATTATAATTGTAATATCCAAAAAAAAAAAAAAATAAAAATAAAACAATACAAAGAATAACAAAAATCGCAAAAAAATTATTTTATAACATATTGGTAATATTTTGGGTATTGAGAGCGTTGTGTGCACAACATATAGGGAGATATGGGGAGAGAGAGCGGTGCGAGGCGGTAGATCTACCAGGGCCTCCACACGGATTGGTCGGCCGCGGTGTCCATCTTCAGAGACATGTCGACAACTTGCAGGAGACCGGTACGAGCGGAGGCGGCGCAACCTTGGCTGACCATCGAGCTGGGGGTCAGCGGCATCGGGTAGGATGACAAAGTGCTACCGGACGGTGATGGCGGTGGCGGCGAAGAACAGGAAGACGACGACGACGAGGAAGATGATGAGAACGACGACGACGACGCGGAAGAGTCGGTGTTGAGCGAGAGCGGGGCGGTCGGCGATCGGGTGGCCGAGGGGGCTGCGGACGGCGACGACGAGATGGCCTGGTCCGTTCCGGCCGGTTGGATCGAGTTGAGCCGGTGGCCGAGGTGGGTCATGAGATTCGCACCCAACGTGACGTCCAAACCGGGCGTGGCGGCCAGACATCGGGATACCTCGGACGCGCAGCGCGTGTAACCGGCCCGGAACCGGTCCATCTCGGTCACCGGGTTGCCGGATAGTCGCTGTTGCCGGCGAAGCTTGTGCAAGTGGCGCACTGTCAACTCCAGTATGTCAGCCTTTTCCAGTTTGCTCACGTTCTCACCCTCGGACTGCAGCGCGACCACCATCAGCTCCTTGAGCTCGTCCAGGCACCGGTTGATGCGAGCGCGGCGTTTGCGTTCCAACATTGGTTTCATGACCTGGAGAAAAACGGAAAAAAAAATACGTTAGAAAATCTCGTCTCGAAATAATACGTTTTATAATTCGTTGATAGTAAATTTGTCGGTATGATTTTTCAAAGGGCCGAGGGCGGTACTTCGACGGACCGGTAGAAGGTTTCTCGCAACGTATACGAGGTGTTGCCTACATGCGCGCGCCGTCACTAGTACGACGCTTTTCCATAAACTGTCGCTCGGCACCGTCGACGACGGTCGCGGTAACCGAACCGATTTTTTCTCGCGATTTGGATTATTGAAATTGGGAGACGAAAAAAAAATTTTACAAACAGTATTATTATTTTTTTTTTTTTGAATTTATATGATAAATAAAAAGAAACTTATAAATGAAAAATTTAAGACGAAAATTATACACGAAAAAATGTAATTCGCGTCGATGTTGTCGATATAAAACGATTTAGAACGGAATGACAAAAAAAAAAAAAAAATGAATGAGAAAAAAAATTATAAGTTTAAAAGCGTTTAAGTCTCTCTTTCGAAAAAAAAATCGGCAATTACCTTTCTGTATTGGTAAGTCCTGGAGACTGGTTGTTGCATTTCGGTAGCGACGGAAGACATGATATCCGCAGCAGTCGTTGACAGTCGTAGTAGTAATGCGATTTGTTTTTCGGACGAAATCCGAAAAAAAAAAAAAATAATAAACGTGCGAGTGGGATAAATGACCCGATGGGCGCACAGAACAAGACGGTTGGTGGTTACGACGACGCGCGTACGACGGTAATGCGTGTGCAACACTGAACGGTGACGGCGCGAGAGACGTTCACGAGACGGCGTACAGTGTTGGAATGCGGTGAGCCGGGCGCCGGGTGGGGCGTTATATAGGCGCGCGGCCCGTGGGAACTCGGGACAGCGCGACGTTCCCACACACGCGGCGGCGGACACGGATGACGATGCAGCCGGCCAGCTGCCAGGCCATAGGCATTTTACCGACGACCGTATTATATTATTATGTACGTGCGTGCGTGCGCAGCGCGAGCTACGTACACCATCGGGGCATAACAACACACACGCGCACGCGCGTGCGAGCACGTACACACCGACACACTTGTACGCTCGTAAAACACGGTTGCACACTTTTACACACGCACACGCGGAACGGAGAGTGTATACCGTGTGCACGTGCGACGAACACCACAGCCGCCGCCGCCGCCACTACCTTCTCGTCGCCGACCGCACGACTACTACCGACACCGCCGCCGCCGCCATTCCTTTTCGTCCTACAGACCTACCGCGCTCGCACGCGCGATCGTAGGTTTACCGAGTTAGGACGATTAATGACATTACCGTATTTATTTTAATATATTTTTTTTCACCTCCGTTTCATTAACACAATAACTACGTTATACCGTCGTGCGTATTCACGGTTTCGAGTATGTCATCATCGTCACAGTCGCGGTTGTAATGTAAATAATAATAATAATAATATAATCGTGCAACTCAATGCAAGATTAATTAACGCGCCATAGTTATTATTGTTATTATTAATATTATAACATTGATGGCGAAACCGATCGCATACGATTTTTCCGAACGAGTAGCACTAGTTCTTTCGCAGCACCCCACATAGGAGTTTAGAATATACCGCGTTAGAAATGTTGCTGAGATTTCTCAAGGTTTATTTAGGGTGTAAGCAGTCGCGTTTTGATTACGACCAAAACTTCAAAATTCGATATCATCGTACAATCTCCTATTACAGTGATTTACATTGTTCGTCTAGAATAATATAATGAGCGCGAGATGAATTTCCAGCAAAAGTGCCGTACAAAATTATACGTACGTTATCGAGCGCCTATTATTATAACTATTACCTACTCGTCGTACACCGTGTTAACATAATCACTATATTTTTCCCGTCGAAAAAAGGGTTTTATTTTTTTGACCGTTTTCATGAATGAATGTTAATCGATCCGATTTCTGTCGGCCACACGTCATCCTTTCAATCAGTTTTTCATCGGAACTGGTATGATTATTCCGTTCGCGCTGTACATTTAAACGTTCACGGCGGTATAAAAATTGCGTGTTAAAAAATTCGACTCCATTGACCAATTGCCGCATTTCGTTTTTCTCGTTCAACGTTTATATAATATCGTATTATCAATGTCACACGATAATATAATTAAATATTAATATCAAAACAGAAGTGCGTCGATCCGACTACATTTTAATATTATCGATATTATAATGTACACCCAAACGTTCGTATTTACGGTTAGGTTAGGTAGTATAGGCTTGTTTTGTCTAGCGCGCATGAATCGAAAAACCGATTAAAGAGATAAAAAAAAATTATTCGTGAAGCGTGACGAAAATGATTTTGGCAAAGTTAAAAAAATGTAGGCGAAGGCAAAAGTGAAACAGCTTATCGCGGCCGCAATTAATTTTATGTATCGATTTTTTTACTAGTCGCAATTTGTATGTATTATACATAAAAGTGCGTGGTATACTGTAATTGCGTTCAACTCGAGTAACGTATATTATTATAATTGTTAATAATTATTAATGATTATAATGATCGCGTAATTTATACAGGGCACGTTGATATTACACTATAGTCATGTTCGGTACTTTCGAAAGTACATCGTGAAACTGTTTTCGTTTGTATACATGTATAGTACATGCATATATATACAATGTCTATTCATGTTTAATATTTTTTATATTATACCGCAATTATTATTCATGATGGTCGTTGCAAGAATGCACTACCGATGACGAGAATAACAGTTAATATTTTCCAAGTATTTTCCACACTATCATAAATACTAAGTGGAAATTATACGATAAAAAACACCAAAGGAATTGCAACTATAGCGTACGAATATAATTTAATAAAATATGCAGATATTAAGTATAATATAAAATTAAGTGAGTAGCATAATGTAGTAAGACCACAAAACGTTTACAATACTACACTGATCAGTAGTTTGTAAAAGTTTAACATTATCGTTCAATAGCATTATTCGTCATGCATCACTAGAAAAATGCACCGCTCGAGTGATTACAACATCAAATTTTAACGAAATTCTTATTCACTTTGTACGTTGTTGTACTTTGTATACGTTCGTTTTTGGTTTTGTCAAATCTATGGATTCGTATACATTTTTTAAATGTTATTTTCGCAATCACTTTACATGCACTTATTCCATTCGTTTGTCCTTATACGAACACAAACTATACTATATATTGGTTGTTTTTATCTTAACAACACAAATTATTTAGAAATATACTGCACAGGTTAGTTTTGTCCTATTTCAGTTTGTGTCAATTCGATGAATCTTAAAATGTTATTATGTGTAAGTGTCAGTTTTAATTTATAATGTACTCCGATTTAAGACTTCTCGTATGTATATATAATTATATTTAACAGTTGTCATCGAACGTGGTTTTTCGTCGTGGTAAAACATTTCGACCAAAACAGTGTCAACGGAATAACGCATTCGAGACGATTTGTAAGCAACGAAAAAAAAGTATAAATAAAACATAAGGAACAAAGCGAACGGGCGCACCAAGGAGCTTGTGCGTAGTGCCGAGTTGGCGTTTAGTGTGCGGTAAGCCGACGTGATTATCGACGATTATGAGGACAAGAGGTGATTATGATGTCGAGAAGCATGAAGGAAAAAAAAACCTAAACTAAAAAGAAGCCGACCATTTATCATTTCGTGGCGATGGAGTTTTCGCATATGAATGTCGACATACGAGACGTACAATCTCGTATACTGTATGATGTTAACAATTATATTATTATACGTGACAGAAACCGAGTCGATAAGTACGTGTGAGCGGCCTTAACGTGTGTGTACGGTCTCTTGTATACATCTATATGTGTATATTGGAACTCGCGTCGTATACTATCTACCTGTACTTAGATCGCGTTGTAAGTTATCCACTTTTCGGGTGATATATACGTTGTTTTGCGTTGTACGGAGACCGTTATTACAAGATTAACCGTATGAACATCAATAATACAGTATACACCTTACACATATCATACCTAGTAGACATACGACTTTCGGTGTGGATCATAAAAGTGATATTTGCTTAAATTATTTTATTATTTATTTATTGTTTTTTGTTAAATCAAAATGGAACATTTTATTGACTTTTATAGACATGTCATTATTTACAATGACGAAATGTGCACCAATTTTTTAAGATAACGTGTTGTTTTGCCCACTGCTAAAATATGCCAGAAAGTCAATTCAAATAATGAAGTATGTGGAGGGGCCCTTAAGGAATATACGAAGAACACATTATGGACATTATGGAGAAGGTTAAGTTATTAAAGAAAAGTGTTTACGTTGTCAGAAGAAAGAATGCCAACAATTTCATTCCATCAGAAAACAAATTCTTTACTTATGTTGATATAAACAAAAAAAAACAACTGTGGTCTGAGTTAGTGTCACGTAGTGGAGTTAGTTTGGTACTAGTGCAATGAAATGAACGTAACAAATACTGCAAAATGAACTGGCAGAGTACATACTATTACAGATTTGTTTAATTTATGTCAAGACGTTTGCGTTAATAAATTTGAACCTAGTTCAAAAACGGGAGGAACCGGTGTAATAGTCCAATTGATGAGTCATTATTCCGAGGGAAGCGTATCACCAAGGACGTCTGTGTGTAGGCCTACTTTAACTCGTACTTCATCCGTCTCATCTGATGTTGATTCTGATAGTTCTGATGACTCTGAACCTGTTTACAAAAATTATGGTTTACGAGTACAGGACCCATGGGTGTGTAAACGAGATGATGGTGTACTGATCGTAGATTTTGTATAGTTGAAAAAAGAGATAGAGCTACGTTACTTCTTATCATTCAACGTGAAGTAGAAGTAAGACCAACAATTCATTCGGACGAATGGAGGGCTTACAGCAATTCAAGTGACCTTGGCTGTGTGCATATACACTGTAAACCACCGGCTTCACTTTATTGATCCGGGAACAGGAGCCAGTACCTAATCTATAGAGTCTACGCGAAGACGCGTCAAAGTAAAATATGGCATAAAAACACGTGGTGCCACCAACTTATTGGAACGACATTCGACGGTAGAGTGGTGGCGTTCAATCAATGCAACCAAAAACCTTTTTGACCAGTTTTTTTGAAGATCCGAAAAAAGTTCTTTAAAGTAATAATCCCCTGATACCCGAACGACACCTACAATTTACATATTGCGGGGTAGAAAATTGTAGTTAACATACAACGCCAACAAACAATTGCGGTAGATGCATTTTTACGGGTAGATAGCATACGACGCGATTTCCTGTATATTATTATATAAATAAGTTATATAAATACAAACACCGAACAGTCTGCTTATTTATAAATAATGTTTTCGATTTGTTTACGCATACGGCGGCTCTAATGTGCGTCGTCCGTTGTCGTCGATGAGACATACTCGTAAATTCAATTAACGCGGCGACACATGCGTGCGCGTGGTGTTATTAAATTATTATTATTATTATTATACAAAGCGCGTCGACGAGTGACGTGGGACAACCGGCGGCAGTGCGAGATATAAAATAATGTGTGTACGCGTTTAACACACGCGCGACTGGGGTGACATGGATATTACTGGTATTTATTTATTTTCGGCCGCTAAAACCTCCTAACCGGGAACGAGAAGTGGGTATAAGAGGGATGTGTGTGTGTGTGTGTATGTTTGGGCAAGGGGGAGGCGAAAAAAGGGACTGAAAAAACCACCGCGCCGACCCCTATAATGCCATAATAATAATAATAATAATAAAATAATTTACGAAAAACGAGCACGTGTTGCTCGACGAAGGGTATAATATACCTATAGACACATGCGTATACAAACCATGTACACGCATAAGACGTATTATCATTATATAGGCGTCGCACACGTGTGCGTCTATATACCACGAGCGGATCCTTTTCGGGGAAGAAAAT